TTTCTGTTTTAATTCACAAGTTCTCCAAATTTATAATTGAGTACTCCTTTAACTTATACATGTTTCAAATTTATTTCAACAAATATTTTAACGTGCCACAACTCCCAACAAGATTACATCTTCGAAACATAAGGCACAGAGACTTTTTAGATAGCACCAATTCAAAATTCTCCCGGAAATGAAATTCACAATTACTATCGGTTTCCTTCTTTTTCAATGAGAGTGTAACCACATAATCGCAAAACCTTACTCGAGCTTTCAGAAACTTTCACCCCTCTCTAAACCCCACAATAACCACAGAACTAGTCTCATGAAGTTATAATTACAATTAGCATTCCCACAAAGTAAAGTCAGTAGAAAACAAATATTCAGCTATAGCTTTCATTTTCTCCATATTATAATTTATAAGCAAAGGCCTTCATTAATTACAAAGTGACGTACCAATTCTATGTATTGAGAGGGGACCCCCCCCCCCCAAAACCCCCCTCTGCCTCTTTTTTTTCTTTCTATGGCTCACGGTAACATATAAGGAGAATAAGACAATTTGTAGTCATGAATTATCTCATGCACACTTGATAAAAAATCTTTAAATAAATATAAAATTCATTTAATGTCATCTTTCTTTTATCATTTTCAAAGTTAAACATGAACAAACTATTTCATACTTTTTCAATTTACGCTTGTAATTTTCAAAAATTACAAACTAGTCACCATAATTAACAATTTCAATTTAACATAAAAAATCCATCTAAATACCATGGATCCATGTCAACTTTCACCATTCTAAAATATAGCAATAATGTTTCTAACTTTTTCCCCATCATCCTCAATTTTTTTTCCTAATTTTTTGATTCAATCTAGTTATCTGTATATTTTACCGGAATTTATCTCTTTATAGGTTTTTACAAAATCTCCTTATCAAAATCTGAATTCTATAAAAAAAAATCTATATTTTTTTTGGAAAAATTATCACTTTGGTCTTTAAACTTTTCCTATGTTTTTACTTTGGTCGTCAAACTTTCAAAATTTACATTTTAGTCACTTGTCAAAATTGTGGGGTATTACATCTTCTACTCTTCATATTGTTGCTCAACAATCATCTTTAAAAGGTATTCGGATAGCGTGTGGTGCCCCTCTCATCACTCATTTGTTGTTCGCAGATGGTATCATTATTTTCAATGAAGAATCAAAAACAGGTTCAAGAAATTTGAAGGCTTCATTGGAACTTAATTCGGCATGCTCAGGTCAATTTATCAATTTTGATAAGTAATGTTAGTGCGGGGGTTCGAGTTGCACTTGCAAAAATTCTAGATGTAAATGGAACAATGAATATGGAGAGGTATTTAGGATTTCCTGCTATTGTAGGGCGTAATAGAAAAAGGACTTTCAAAGGATTGTTGGAGCAATGCCTTAAACATGTGCATAACTGGAGCGCACGTTCTCTTTCGATGGGTGGCAAGGAAGTCTTTATCAAGTCTGTGATGTAACATGTCTAGCTTTCTTCTCTCGAACTCTTTTTGTGCATAGTTGGAATCTATTTTTGCGAAGTTTCGGTGGCAACACTCAACGAGTCGGAAAGGAATCCATTAATGCACTTGGAAAGCATTATGCATTCCTAAGGAAAATGGTGGAATAGGTTTTCGGGGTCTTGAAAAGTTTAATATTGCTCTCTTAGCCAGATAAGGGTGGTGTTTGCTCATTGACCCGGGCTCTCTTATGGCACTCTTATGGCACGAGTTTTGCGTGCGAAGTATTACCCCAGCTCTTCCTTTGATAAAGCACTGCTGGGATCTAACTCGTCTCTTACTTGGAGGAGCATTTGGAGCTCTAGGGGGCTCTTGCATAAAGGTCGCTGCTGGAATGTTGGAAATGGTTTGTCCATTTCATTATGGAACGATTTTTTGCTGCCATGATTTCCACCTCAAGTTTTATCCTCCTCTCGGGTCGATGACATTAACCTTGTGGCCAATCTGATGCGACAATCAACACGGACTTGGAATGTTTCTCTTATAGAGACTATGTTCCCCCCGAATATAGCCCAGGCCATCTTAGACATTCCATTTTCGATGTCTTCACAAGATGATGTATTGGTGTGGAGTGAAGAACAGTCTGGCATTTACTCGGTTAGAAACGGACACCAAATGCTAATTCAACCAATGGCTCAAAACTCCTACGCGGGATATTTCTACAAAAAAATTGTGGGTCTTTCTTGTCCAGCGAAGATCAAAATCCTTTTATGGAAATTCTGCCATCATTTTATTCCCACAATGCTGAACCTTTCCATTAAACGGGTAGCTCCTAATCCCTTTGTCCTCGTTGTAGACACGTAATTGAGGATCCTAAACATGTTAGTAGAGATTGTTTTTTTGCTACTAATGTGTTTACCTCTTTGAGTTTTCACTGGTCAAGGAATGTGCAGTTACTGGAGTTTAATGATTGGGTCAAATGGCTGGCTATTCTACACGCATAGCAGGAATCGACACAATGAAATTGCTATTACTATTTGGGCTATATGGTATGCAAGGAACAAAATGCTTTATGAGATATATTTTTTTAAAGAGTAGATGATGTTGTTACCTTCATTCGGAGTTATATGGGTGAAATTGAGACTCTCTCTCATCGTCCTCACCATCCCTTAGTATATTCAGACTCCCAGTGGCGAGCTCCTTTAGACCATGCTGTTAAGGTCAATGTTGATGCTAGTTTCATAACAACGGATGCCTCTTCTTGGTCTGGTTTCAAACACGAGTGAAAATGAGCAGAATTTAAAATGATGAAGTCCGAAGAACTTTCGGTGATCAAAACTCCATCAGACAATCTATCAATAATGGACACGATCACACATTGTAGATCTAATCCAAGGGTGGTCCCATCACTTTCATTAATCAGCTTTCTAATGTCGGGACCATCCGAACACAACCTTCCGGTCTCGCATATTTCTGATCGTATGGAACCACTTCAGTTACTCTCTCCTCTTAAATCTTCTGTTTCCAACCGTACGATCAAAAACTTATTTTTTCACATTAAACAAGTGCAATAGACTATCCCCTCCAAACTCTCCTCTCAATTTGACCCGTCTTTTTAGTCTTCGCCCTGAGCCATTAAAAACCAAGTATATAATAAAACACTCCTCGGCTGCGACGTTCAGCTTTGGGTTTTTTTTTTAAAGTAATTTTCTTTTGTTTCAAAAAGGCTGAAGGTTTTATTTCTTTTACGAGGAGGTTCGTCATTGTTTTGGGCGTTTTGTCTCTCGTTTTTCGCCTCAGATATTCTTCGGTTAAGCTGCTTCTTTTTTCAATGTCCAATGCGCGGCAGAAACGTGGCGTTTCTTCCCCTTGGCGTTCGCTTTTTCCGTTACTGACGGCGGTCCCGTTCTGCATTTCCAGTACTCAGACCGGTAAGTTTTGCTTGGTTCCCGGGAATTTTTTTAGTGCTGTTGAGTGTTCAAGTTAACAAGCACATTTATTTCTTTCACTTTTTCCCTTTTTTGTTTAATATAATAATTATAATAAACATTGGACACTGTTTGAAACTTGGATTTCCAAAAGAGAAAAGAGATAAAGTGAAGTGAATATTTTGTTTGATGAAAACATTATTTTTCTTTAAAAAAATGCATCTATTTGATTTGGTGAAATATACGGGATTTTTAGTTCTTAAGTTTGATAATAAAATGATTGCCTGTTGGTTTGAATAAGCTGAGGTCGATCTTGTCGTTTCCAGTAAATTTAAGCTGATCGGCGATAACCCTTCATTTGTAGCTTATCTGAATAATTACTCTCAATCCCTTTATGTTTTTTATCCCTTGTAGACCACTCGCTCCCGATTCTTTTCAAAATACACATCAAGACTATCCGGTTTCAATTTCAAATTCGTCTTCATCCCTATTTATCGATTTGTCAACCTTGAACTCGCCAAACTTTTGAATTTCGTTCACTTTTGATAAGATTTCTTTACAAGAAAGTGTTCGCTGTATATCTATTTCGCGGTAAATCTGTTAGTTTTAAAAGTGATTTGAGCTCTGTTAGTTCTGAATTATTTTTTAGTCTGGAAAATATTGAAAAAGTGCATTGATTTTAATTGTTTAGTTAGGAATCATGGCAATATGTGGTTGATTTATGCAGAAGGAAACAAATTTGATGGAATCCTTGTGCTTACTGAGTTGGGAGATTTTACTTGTGAAATAAGTTTTATGGCTTAACTGGTTCGTTGCAATCTTTGGATTTAGGCATTTGCTGCTCTACTTTCTATAGTACTTTCAACGTTAACGGTCAAGTGTTAGGGCATGTTTAGGATGGTATATTTTAATGTTATAACGATACTTCAAAAATAGGTTAAGCCTTTAGTTTTGACCTTTTTCTCGAGTAATGTTTAGCTATTAAAGGGTAAAACTAGCTGAAAATACTTGGCGTGATAAAGATTGCTGATTGTGGGTGATATCCCACAATTATATCAGTGTTAAGAGAATCCATGCTTGTTGCTTTAGGGGTTTTATGTCCTCTTGGTTGCTCTAGTTACTGATCCTTCCTATCTCGTTTGCTTCGAAAGCCTTATGTCACTGTGCATGTGATATACTGGTTTTTGTTTTCAATTTGATCTGGTTTTACAATATCGTTATATAATGTTTGACTGTTTGTTCTTATCCACAGAGTTGCATGAATGAATGTGAATTGAGTCGAAACTGTGCTGCTAGAAAGGATCTGGAGTTACTAATACCTATACAGTCCATGGAATGCAATTTAGAGCTCGGACAGAATTCAAGAGGTTAATCCTTCGGAACTTTTGTGAAGACCATGTTGCCCCAAGCAAGCCAGAGGGCAAGTATGCATGGCAGGTTTAAACTTGAAAGGCCTAATTTGTCATATGCTGATCTTCATCAAGAAAATACTAAAGATGGAAAAGAGGTTTCACCTAAATCTTCTTGTAAGGATAAAAAACAACATACTGATTTCAAGGCTAATGACAAAGAAGAGCTTGTGAAGTACATGTCACATTTAAGGATCAAAAAATCCCCAAGAAAAAGTTTTAAATGTTGGGGTCCTTGAGTGGGGGAGTCTTGAAAAATGGCAGGGTAGCCATAAACAGATTTCACATAGTAGTATTTCTTCACTTTCCAGCAGCAGCACATCATCATTATCAGCAGATGAATCATCAGCACATTTGAGCACAAGTCACAGTTTCTCTTCTGCTCGTCAAAGGTTACGGCATCCTTCACCGCAATCTCATCTGACTCCCATTCCCATAAAAGGGCATTTGCCTTCTGTCAAACCCCTTAGGGAAAGAATTAGAAAGTTTCAAGATCTCAAGACTACCCGAAGAAGCACCTTCGTTGTTGAAGAAAAATTCATAAGAGAAGATAAATACTTTTGCCAAAATAATCCACAAATCAATCCAGAACAGTTCAAGAGAAGAGAAATGCTCCCAAAGACTGATTCAGAAAGTGGAACCTTGCCTAGTGGGGTAAAAGATAGCTTGGCATCATTTAAGCAGGTGAAAATGAAGAACCGGCGTGGGGAAATTATGAAAAAAGCTGAGATGTTTCAAGAAGTTGTTCCAAAAGGGGCTAACCAAGACGTCACTGAAAAAAGAAACACGGTTGTCCTTTTGCCAAGAGATTTGCCCAAAACAAATCATTCAGGAGCAACTAACCTTTCTGGATTAACAACTAAGTCTAGCAAAAAGGAAACAGAACCTAAGCAGCAGAGAACCTTCACGGAAACATTTAAAGAGGCTCACCGTGCAGAGCTTAGTTCTAGTTTCTATCATTCAGGCCCATTGCCCAGTGAACTTGACAGCAGCAAGGGTTTGTTAGTTGCAAATAATAATGGCCTTACATCAGGGAGATCTCAATCCGTACCTCGTGCAGAAAAGGTAGAAGTTAGTTCTTCCAGAAGCAGAAACCTAGAGGAGAAAAAGTTAAATGCAACAAAAGTAGCTTCTGCTGGAAATGAGGCTTGCAAAGGATTGGACCCAACATTACACAAGGTTACATCTGAAAACGTTCGAAGCACTTTTCCTTTCCGACATCTTAGCTTCAGCATCGGTAAGACAGGCAAAAGTTCCAGCCTCAAAGAGGATTCTTCTATACCTCAGATGAGCTCGACATGTAGTTATGCCAAAACCAAGCCAGAGAATCTTGTCGCTTCTGGTGTTGACACTTCTTGTGGTGATACACTCAATGCTAAAAGCAGAGCCAGGTCCAGCCCTTTGAGAAGATTATTAGACCCTCTTCTGAAACCAAAGGCAGTTAACTGTCGCAGTTTTACCAATCAACTACAGGACTCAATCATAAGAGAAGGTGCCTGTAAGTCATCAGAACAAACAGGACACTCATCCGTGACTGTGCAGTCAGTGAAAGCAAAATCAAATACAATCAGTCATTGCACAATCAATGTAAATGTTCCAGCACCAAACAGAAAAAATGGATCTTCAGCAGCTCAAGCTCTTCTCAGAGTTCAAGTTACGAATGGGTTGCCTCTATTAACATTTGCTGTTGATAATGAGAGTAATATGCATGCAGCTACAATAAAGATGTTAAGTTCCAAAGGTAAGGGTGGTTATGAATCCATTTACACATTTTTTGCCGTTCAAGAAGTCAGGAAAAAGAATGGTACGTGGATAAATCAAGGAGCCAAAGGAAAAGGTCAGGATTATGCCCCTAAAGTTGTTGCCCAGATGAAGGTTTCTGGTTCTGAACTTTCTCATTTGCCCAGGCGAAACTATGTGGATCAATTTAGCACTAGGGAATTTGTTCTACTTACCTTTGATGTAAAACAGACAAATTCACAAGCATCTGTTGTCCAGCCAAATGATGAGCAGTCGGCTATTGTTGTTAAGATCCCAAAAAGTAACAACAGAAACTCAATCAGAGATGGGTATTTGATTGATAAGCGTCACAGCATGCCTGATGCCACTTTGAAAACATGTCTGCCGGAGGTAGGGCTTGAACTCAATTCGGGGAAAAGGGGTTCTTTTGTGGGTGTTCGAGACATTACTGCTACAGTCATACTTCCAAGTGGTGTACATAGCTTGCCAAATAAAGGTGAACCTTCTTCATTGATCCAACGATGGAAATCAGGTGGAGCATGCGATTGTGGTGGTTGGGATATGGGTTGCAAACTTAGGATTCTGTCTAATAAGAGCCAATACAACCAGCAACCTAGTTCGTTGAAGGGTTCTACGTCTAATCAATTTGAACTCTTCTTTCAGGTTTGATTCTAGATCTTCTGCTAATCAATCTAAAATGTCCACTATATAATAATAGAGAATGTAAACTGAATTCTTTCTTTGTTTTAATCATACAACAGGGAGGAGCACATGACAAGAAGCCGTTCTTCAGCTTGGCCCCTTTCAGTGATGGTATCTATTCAGTCGAGTTCAATTCATCACTTTCTCTTATGCAAGCGTTTTCAATTTGTATTGCTGTTTGGGACAGTGGACATCACTGTGAGCTTTCGGAATCAGTTCGTTCTAATAAAGAAAGAACTTTAGGGAAAACCATGGTAAATGACAGAACAAATGAACCTAATCCAATTGAAGCAGGTCCCCCTGCTAGGTATGTCTCATATCCTCCTGTTTCCCCGGTCGGAAGGGTCTAGAAGAATCCCACACAACGGATGATCATGTAATTAAGTGTAAAGGTATAATTATAGATCATATGTATTTCTGCTTGTTGGTTAGGCAATGGTCAGTGAAATATCCATCACCAGTGAAAAATTAGTGAACAAGGCTAGTTTGTAAAAGCCAGGGACAGGTTCCCCTAGAGCTTCGGGTCGTCGTATTTTGGTTAACTTTCGACAGAAGAAGCGATGCCTGATGTAGTATGAGCAAAATTTTCCATCAGTGTAAGCGTGTATATGATCAAGGGATTATGATTTTGCTATGTGTGCTTTGCTCCCAACACATGAACTTCAACCCGTTGATGGTGGCTTTCTTATTAACGATGTTTAACCAATAATAAATTCATGTTTTAAAGAGTTTAATAGTTCAAATAGAGGGATTAAATTATGTGAATTAAAATAATACATTAAATCTCAAATTTTTGTGATGTAGAGGAATCTATAAATGTAATCAGAACTTGATTTTATATCGGTAATTGAACTTTTAAGAAGTTATATTAAAAGTTTAAGATTTTAAAATTATAAATATAGGATAACAAAATTTTTAAACCACATGAAAATTTTAAAATTTTCAAGGAGTATCATCGTCTCCAACACCTTGTTAACACTATATCTCTTCAAATATTTTGATACCTAAAAGAATAAAATTCATCAATTCGATGTCTAAACTTTTTTTTTTTGGGTTATCCTCTAGTTTAACGCTTCGTCCTTGACTAACTTTTATCATTCATTCACAGTGTTTAAGTGTCTACGTGAAACATAAATCAAAATTTTATTTTAAAGCATCAAACTTGTTACTGCTAATCGATCAAGAGTCATCAATTACTAACTAATTTCTTAACTTGGTACATTCTTTTCTCCATATTGAGGATGCCACTTGTTCCATTACAAGCTATTCTTAGTTACTTTCACCATCAAAACTGGAGCGTCCTTCTTTTTCTGCTAAAATCTTGAGTAGTGGATGCCAAGAAGTCTTGAAATTCATCATTCGATGGCTAAACTTTACTTTTATCATTCACTTTTGTTTTCTTCAATGCCAAATGCTACCCAGAAACACCTATGTTAATCTGTTTGCAGAGAAAAAAAATTAAATATTATATAAATCAAAAGTAAAAAAAAATATATAGATGGGGATAGGGGTCACACCTAAGGATGGGCATGGGATCCGAACCCGAAGGATTCCGACCCGATCGGGTTGGGTTTTTTTAAAAAATTGGAGTTCGGATAGATTCAGATTTAGGGTGAAAATAATCGATCCGGAAAAAATATAATTTTACTTTATATATTTAAGAATAATTACAATAAAATCATGTTGGTGGAGAATATATATTTTTCGAGTCGGGTGAAGAATGTAAAAAATTTAGGTCGGATCGGATTGGCCGAAACCCGACCCTTGCACATCCCTAGTCACACCCCTCCCATCTATTGAATAGCTTTCGTTGCACGAAATTATCCTTTCTTTCTAGAGATCTTGAGTTCGAATAATTATATATATAGAATGTTGTCAAGGACTAAAAAAGAATTATAAACATATACTACTTTACACCTCCATACTAATAAAAAAAACATATAATTGAGCTGCTGCTATTATATATCTTCATTATTCAAGTTGTCCAATGAACAAAATGGTTTTTCATCCTCCCATTTCTTAAATTAAAAAATCAATCGACATAAATTTTAAATTGTTCATAAATTTCATAATATTTTATCTAAATTCTTAAAGTATTGTAGCGATCAAGTTTTTCATCAATCTAACATTAATAAGCACTGAGAACTCTTGATTGGTTAAAGATTAGTGCAATGTAACCGAGATTATTTGCACTAACAAGCAAGCTTGGCATGTGTTGTTTCTCAAAAGAGCAGTGGTAGTTCCAAGTACAGATAAATTTATCAATGTCAATTGCAGGGCGAGCCATTCTTTTCTTTAACATAACAAGAAGATGACCGTGTTACATCGGAGGCCGACCTCCAGCACTGAGCATCTGGCCAATCATGCTATTCACCTACAAAGCATTGGCGTACAAGAACCAAATGTCAGCCATCGAACTAAGAAATAGATACAAAGATCAAACAAATCCATACCGAAACATCTGAATCAAGCATGATTTCAATTCAACAAGCCAGCTGAATTATACAACTCTCTGAAGAGAATCCATAGTCACAACAGAATGTTCTTTATAATTCATAATCTAGTAGGTTAGAGCCAAAGCGATAACAAAACTAGCATAATTCGTGCTTAAAACTTCAATAAAACACAAACTAGAACATTTATGGATAACTTGAAACCCAATCTTTACCTGCCAATACTTCGAAACACAGCGATCAATGCAACTGTTTTCCCCCATGTTTAGCTCGGCCTCCTTGTACCTAAAGCAGAAACATGTTATCATTGACATCATTTCTTTAGGGGATAAGATAAACCGTATACCATGTGTAAACCGATTAAATAGGTTGAACGAAATAATATGAAACGCAGTGCTCAGACTTCTCATACCTTTTGTCAACGCATTTGTTGAAACAGGTTTGTGCAAGCCTGAAAGAAAATCATAAAAGTGCTCTAAACTCAGATAATCAAGTATTGGCAATAAAACATTACAGAGTAATGAGAAATACCGTCAGACTATCTGTAAGAAAGAAGAAAGCAAGGCCACAGAGGTCCACCATCAAATTCTGAACTAGGAAATTTTATTATCCAGGCAGATAAGATTGAGCAAATAGGGTCAATTTATGTTTAAGATTTTGACCATTTCAGGTAAGGTCGATTCTAGGCTCGGACTGTTTTGGGTACACAGGTCATTCAGATTTGAGTCTTGAGTTTTAGGGTTGGATCATCTTGAGCTACTTATTCGAGTCATTTCAGATTTGATCAGGTTAGGTTCAGTCAATTCAAATTTGGGTTGGGCGGATTCAAGTTCTTAATTTTAACTCATAAAATCAAATTAATTTGGGTTTGAGTTTCGGATTAATCCGATCAGGTTTTAGAATTCAAGTCGTAATAGTGACAGGTATAATTAAACATGGGCATTAACTTTTGGGCATTTCTCTCTTACCTGTTAAAGAGTTCTACCCTGTATTCCATCTCTGTTTCTGCCATGCCAAACGCCTGCAAAGTGTTCAAAACACGAACTTCAGATCACCAAGATCTCATAAATGGTAAAAGACACAGACAAATATAATTGCAATAACCAAAACCCAAAACGAATCAAATCTCAAAGAACCATTCACAGTTAGTTCATAATAAAAACCTTAATGCATCGAAACTATACACACACCCAAGATTATTGAACACTCCAAACTCAATAAAACAAAAAGGCCAAATCAATCAATTTAAAAGATCAAGTTTTTCTCCAGTAATTGATGCAAAGCATTGTCTATGAACTAAGGGGAGGAAAGGTAGTAACAGTTAACCTGCTCTTTGTCTATTCCAGCTGGGACGTTGGCAGCCATTGAACCCCTGAGAAACAAGCAAAGATATACCTAAATCTAACCAGAAATATCAAGGGAAAATATTATAACAATATAGGAAAATAGAGGACTTTGTAAAATTGTACTAACGAGGTTTTACTGTGATCGGAGAAAAGCTTTGTTTTTGTTAGGGTTTAAGGAACCGCCGTAAACAAGGAAGTGGCAGAACAAAACCTTGTAGTGTTCGTTGATTGTATTAGAATTAGGGTTTTAGGGGTCCCTCTACACCGCAAATATGATGTGCTACTGGAAACTGGTGAAAATAACCTGTTGGCTCCCTCTACTTAGGGAATGTGTTAACTTGCCCACTTATAAGGGTCAATCCAGTCCCTCTATTATAGAGACTGATTCAAATTAGTCACTCTTCTTTGAAATGAGTCAAATATTTGCACTAATAAAAAATAAATAAGGTTAATTTTTTATATATTTATTTTTATTAATTATTTAAATATGACATTAAGTTTATTTTTTCATATTTCAACTTCAAATAAAATATTTCATTTATAAAATCATAAAATGAAAATATTAATTTATATAAACATACATCAACATTTTTTAGATATAATAAATATTAACTCTGTAAAAAATGATATTATTTGGTTCTTTTAATTAGTATAAAGAATGGATTACTTTATTTAAAAATAAAAGAACTAATCTAAATTTAAATAGAGAGACTAATCTGGACCAGTTTCTATAATGAAGGGACTAATATAAAGTAATCTCTATAATAGAGAGTGGCCAAACGTATGCATTTAACAGTATATTGACTAAATTGATATAGCCTCCATATTAAAGGGACTTAACAGGTACCTTGACCCGTTGAAAACTGACTGGTAATGTAAATCAAGGGCTAAACCGCTAAAGCTGTAATTTGATCAATTCTCTTGGTTCCTCGTATAACTTTCACAACTATTGTTAAAGTTCGTAGGGTTTTGCAGGCAAAATAGTGAGGTGAGTCAGATTCTGTGTTTCTCCTTTTCCTTTAGTTTCCCTCCTTTGATGTGTTTCCGCCATGAATATTTGGGTTAAATTTCTTCTTTTTTATTGTTATTTCTCCTTCTTCTTCTGCAGATATTATAGATAGAAAAATTCTGGGTGATTTGGAATCTGGATAAAGGAAACAATGGAACACGGGTCTTTCAGTGATAATAGTGCTGCAACTTTTTCGTTGACTGATGAGGATCATACACTAGCTAACTCTGTTAGGTTCACCTTGAATCAAGAGTCAGTTCCATCAACTCTGTTTAATTTTTTGTAGTTGTTTTTGCTTGATTAATGGTGGGTTTTCTTTGTTTTGAGCGATTATGTTGAAAGTGGAAGCTATAATTTTAATTGTGCAGCCCAAGGGTCACATTTTCTGGGTACAGTATACCTCATCCATCACAAGCTCGAGTTAATATCAGAGTTCAGACAACTGGTAACTCAATCCTACACCCTTCTGTCAAGGTTCAATGGATCATTGTTCATCGACTGTTTTCACAATTTCTCCATTCATTTTCCTGCTTTAAGATTTCTGGATATCAGTATGTTATATGGAGCAACGACATTGTTGTTGGGTTCAAGTTCTTTTAGTTTTTTCAGTTGGTTAAGATGCAATTTTGGTTGTGAAAATTGTTGTTTTAATGAAATTTTGCAGGTGATCCAGCAAGTGAGGTGTTGAAAGATGCATGTCAAGATCTGATGCTGATGTGCAGGCATGTAAGGAGCACTTTTGACAAGGCTGTTGAAGATTATAAAGCAAGCAATGCTGTCAAGGCCATGAAAATCGATTCAAAGGAAGAAGATAGTAGTGATTCAGAAGATAGTGAATGAAATTAGTATATCTCTCATCTTAATATTATTGTGTGCTCGAGATATCTTTAGCTTGATCTGAATTACTTCATTTTATTATTCGAATTGAAGCTTTGCACCCGTTATGCATTGTAGGATTAACTATCTTTATTTCCTAGACAAACTAGAGTTGCCTATCCTTGATATCTGATGTACTTTGAAACAAGAATTGTAGGATTTGCCTATACAATCTCCATTCGGTTTACATTTTTTTCACAAAAGAAATTTCCCATTTTTTTGCCAGTGAAATTTCAAGTAATGCATCAAGCTACTTGAACTTCAGGCTTTGGGGCATTTTTTGGTCTCATTGAGTTCGGAGTTATTTCTCCTGGTTTTGACAGCTGTGGTATTTCCGCAGCGCTTGTGAAATCCGCTTATCTTTTTCGGAGCATCTGCAGCCGTCGAACCAGCATTAAGCATCAGTAAACATAAACTCAACCGTTGTGTAACAGGTAATGGTGGATTGAGAAAATCTAATCAAATGCCAAATACCATTAAATGCAGAAATCTTATCTATTCTTCTGAGTTATCAATTATCATCACACGAGGAAATGAATTCAGGATTTACCCTTTTCTTCTACCAAGGTTTAGGACATTGCATATGCCCCATGATCAAATAGAACCAAGCTATCAAGGCACTTGTGTTTTTGAAAACAACTGAGATACTTCAGCAGAGTTCAATTATAGCCCAGATGATTTGTAAAAGACAAACAGAATCTTTGCTACATCCACATCATATCAGACTTAAACTTCGAACTAGAAGGGGGGCATAAAATTGACCTCTAATCTTGGCAAATTATTTTGCAGTTCAATCAAGATTAGTATGAACTTGTTTTCCGAAACCTTTAATTGCTTACTGGAACCCTCTTGTTAAACATGGTATGGTTTTTAAATTCATTTCCAATACTTTTGCAGTTCTATCATGATATGGTTTTCCAAAACGTTTGGTCAATTGAATCATAAGCAAAGGTTAATGGAATATTTACTCTTTAGTTGGAACCTAGCATGCATGGGCAAACCTGGGTTCGCATTTCCTTTTTCCAGAATGAAGTTTGGCTTTTAATCAATTCATTATAGATATAAGATCCATGTGAGTAAATTATCAAGAAAGATAGAACAAATGCAACTGAAAGATGGACTTAGAAACTTAAAAAGGTATAGGGGTACATAAGATAAACTGAGCATACTTTGCTGAAAGAGCAAGCAAGGTATTGAAAATGTAGAACTAAGGTAATGACGACTACCAAGGGATCCAAGGAAATTGAGAGTTGAATTTCCTAAATGGCAACAAGTTTCCTTTTTAACTATTCCTCATATTCTGGTTCCTCTTCCTCGTACTCATCTTCATCGGCTGTAGCATCTTGGTACTGCTGATACTCAGAGACGAGATCATTCATGTTGCTCTCAGCCTCGGTGAACTCCATCTCATCCATGCCTTCTCCTGTATACCAGTGCAAAAAGGCCTTCCTCCTAAACATAGCTGTAAATTGCTCACTCACACGCCTAAACATCTCCTGAATGGATGTTGAATTGCCAATAAATGTCGACGCCATCTTGAGGCCTGTGGGTGGGATGTCACAAACTGTTGACTTCACATTGTTAGGAATCCACTCAACGAAGTATGATGAGTTCTTGTTCTGAACATTCAACATTTGCTCATCCACTTCCTTAGTGCTCATTTTGCCACGGAACATGGCCGATGCAGTCAAGTATCGACCATGTCGTGGATCAGCAGCACACATCATGTTCTTCGCATCCCACATTTGCTGAGTTAGCTCGGGAACTGTCAGGGCTCGGTACTGTTGAGAGCCTCTTGAAGTGAGTGGTGCGAAACCAACCATAAAGAAGTGAAGTCGGGGAAATGGGATGAGATTAACAGCAAGTTTCCTGAGATCAGAGTTGAGCTGACCAGGGAATCGCAAGCAGCATGTAACTCCAGACATTGTTGTAGATATCAAATGATTCAGATCACCAACTGTCAAAGATCAAGGAGAAAGCAACACAATGTTAGAAATTGAAAGATCTCCCAAGCTAATAAACAGATCTTAGTTATATCTATCTCAACTTTTCCATCGAATACACAGTACTAAAATTCCAAATAAAAGGCATAGCGTGGAGCCAAACAAACAGATATAAAATGACTCGGAACAACAAGAAATTTATGAATTTCGAAGATCCCCAAGCTATATAAACAGATATTACTACGAGCTCAAATTTCAATTAGAAGGCATAGCACGAATCTATTGTTATTCACAAAAACATCATAGCAAAAACCCAGATCAGAAACTAAGAGCAAAATCAGGGGAAAACTTACAGCTGGGAGTAGTGAGCTTAAGTGTCCTGAAACAAATGTCATACAAGGCCTCATTGTCGAGAACCATACACTCATCGGCGTTTTCAACCAACTGATGAACTGACAAAGTAGCATTGTAAGGCTCCACGACAGTATCAGAGACCTTAGGAGATGGGAAAACAGAGAAAGTCAACATCATCCTATCTGGGTATTCTTCTCTTATTTTCGATATCAAGAGTGTTCCCATTCCAGATCCAGTTCCTCCTCCCAAAGAATGACAGACCTGAAACCCTACAGAGAACCAAAAAAAAAACGAAAAGCCCATATAACACCAATCATTACACAATAAGTTGAACAATAAACAAGCTGTACACCAGATCTTTAATTTACCTTGCAGACAGTCGCAATTCTCAGCCTCCTTACGAACAACATCAAGGACGGAGTCGATTAACTCGGCACCTTCAGTGTAATGGCCTTTAGCCCAGTTGTTTCCGGCGCCGGACTGACCGAAAACGAAGTTGTCGGGTCGGAAGATCTGACCGACAGGACCAGATCTGATGCTGTCCATGGTACCGGGCTCGAGATCCATGAGGACGGCACGAGGGACGAACCTACCACAACTGGCTTCATTGTAGTAGACATTGATTCTCTCGAGTTGAAGATCTAACTCTCCTCGGTAGCGACCAGTTGGATCTATGCCGTGCTCCGCGCAAACAACTTCCCAGAACTTGGCTCCTATTTGGTTGCCGCACTGGCCACCTTGAATGTGAAGGATCTCACGCATTTTTTGCTTATGGAGAGAAGAGAAACAAACAATTAAAGATTTAAAGAGGATGAAGAAATGAGAGTTGCAGGATGTAAATGATTGAGGGGAGAGCCAGGTTTTTATATATAAGCCCTAATTAATTTATGGGTAAATTACACGCTTACTCATTAAATTTTACTCTCTCTTATTTCACTCACTATACTTTCAATTTTTCAATTTGTTCAATAAACTTTAGACATTGAACTTTTTTGTCATTCGACCGTTAAATTTCTAGCGGCGTTAAACTAAAATTGAAAAAAAAAAAAAAAGTAATGTGAGTGAAATAGGAGAGAGTGTAAAGTTCAGTGAGTAAAAATGTGACATGTTTTATTATTAAAATAAGCCACGTAAGCACCCCATTACTGAGTAAATAGTCGAGTGACAAAAAAAGTTCAATGTCTAAAGTTCAGTGAGAAAATTGAAAAAATTGAAAGTACAATTAGTGAAATAAGAGAGAGTAAAGTTTAGTAAAATTTAGTGAATAAGCATGTATTTTACCCTTATTTATACTATTAATGAGATAAGGTTTATTTAATTTCAATTATTTTACTTATTTTGTCTAATTCCGATTTTAGAGCCACTAGTCTAATGAAATTTGAAATTTAATTTTTTACCTTTTTTAATGATAATGAGGCCTAAGCCAAAAAATTACTTATTTACATGATTATAAAGAGGTTTGAGAAAATCTCTAGCCATGATACCAGCAAGTTGATCCAGTGGAGAGTCGAGGACTGCAAGAACACCATCAGGATGAACGTCATGCTTGGCAATGAAATCAACTACATAATTTGTTTCTCGGTTAATCACAGCGAATTCGATAAACCATGCTCAATGGCAAAGCTTATCAATGGCACGAACCAGGGAATATGGACTGTTGCGCGTGACATTCTTAATAAAGTTGTGAGCATTTTTATTATCCATTTGAACGAGAACACGTTCGAATGCATTTGACTAGGCAAGAGAGAGACCTTTGAAGACACCCCATAGCTCAGCTTGGAGGACGGATGACTGACCTATAATTTTATCGAACGCTAGAAGGAAAGATCCACTGTGGTCACGAAAAACCCCGCCAATGGAAGCCAAACCAGATCGGTGTGAAACTACAGCATCAGAACTAAGGCAGACCCAATTTTAAGGAGGAGGTTTCCATTGGACTTGGACAGTTCAGACAGAAGGGGGTGCCAAGATCGGAGATTTTGCTGCTGCGTATTGACAAGCCCACAGTGGAACAAGCTGTGATGATCAGAGATAGACCCCCGAAAAGTAGCCTCATTTATCCCTTTCCATGCTTGCCAAATGATGGAGGAGAAGAAAGTGTTCCAAGGGACAACATGGGGAGGAAACAAACTTTCTGTATGGAGACTAATCTCGAGCCAATCCACAAGAGCGAAATTAAAGAAATCAACATGAGTGTTGTCTTGGAGGAGCCAATTCCAGATGTTACAAACCATCGAACAATCTCAGAGGATGTGCAGTAGGGATTCATTCAGATTAGAGCAAAGGTGACAAGAAGAATCATTATTGAGGCCTCGTTTGAAACAAATTTCATTTGTAAGATGTCTATCCAGGATAGCAAGCCATAAAAAACATCTAACACGCTTAGGAACATCAAGTTTCTAAATCTGTTTCCATATCGGGTTCATTGTTGACCAATTAGTTTTCGCAAGGGACTTATAGGCGCTCTTGACAGAGAACGTGTGATTATTTTCTTCATTCCAATAGCAATTTTCCGAGCCATGAGCGCAATTAGAAGAAATTGTACTTTGTAATAGAGGAATGGCCTCGCAAGCAAGGAGGTGATTGAGCAGATTCCAATCCCAACAATTCTCAGCATCACAGAAATCCTTCAGCTTTAAAGTTATGTCAACCGTAATGTTCAGATTCACCCAATGGATAATTTGTCCCAACTTGGGAACCCAAATATCCGACCAGAAATTAATAGTTTTGCTATCACCGATGCACCAAGCCAATCTCTCATAAAAGAAGGGCCAAACATTCACGATAGAACGTAAAAAAAGAGTAGTTTGGCCGCTATATAGAGGGCGAACAAGGTTCGATCATACAATACTTTTCTCGAATAATGGTGGTCCAAAGCTTAGTCGGCGTTTGGACTAAAGAATTGCAAATCTTCATTAAAAAACAATATTTTGATGTCTGATATTCCTTAAACTCATTCCTCCATAGGAATAAGGTTGGCAAAGTTTATCCCAAATGACTAAGGAGAGACAGTAGGATCTCGGGCTTGAGCCCCAAATAAATCGACGAATTATAGCCTCAATTTTATCACATATAGCAGAGTCAGTAAGTTTGCATGAGATAGGTCGGAATACTGAAAAATAGTAGACTTATCTAATACGACCAGCGAGAGAAAGCGTACGAGATTACCAGCAGTCAAGCTTCTTCAAAAAAAATTCAACAAAATTGTAGATGTCACTTTTGGCTCCCCTGTGACGAACAAGTACTCCTAAATAGACCCCGAGATCAGTGACCGACTGGAACCCGGGTCGAGTGCTAATAGCGTGGATAGCAACAGTCAGAGAAAAAGAACTTTGTTTTTTGTTTGTTAACGACATGGCAATAATGGATACCAAAAATATTGAGCACATTTTAAATAACTTAAGCATGGTCGATATTAGAGTCATGACTTGTCAAAATTGCATGATTTTGTGTTCCTTATCCCTTGAAAAGTTGGTTATTTTTCTTTGAGATTTGAGAAATTAACAAATTTTAGAATCTTCTGCTAAGTCTGTTCCTGGAACGGTTACGCAATTTTTACTGCTTCTGTACTTCCATTTCATTGTCCCTCACCAATCAGGAAATCAACATCACTCCTCAAGCAAGCATTAGCGTAGCGAGAGATCTAGACCGGTATCCCATTTCTCATTCTTTTCTAATTTCTGTAAATATCATTTAACGATATGGTTTCTGTTTTGTTGTTCACTTGTTTTCAAATTCAACAAATTCTAAAATCACGTATAAACCTCGGGGGAAAAAGGGGAAAAAATAGGATTGTCTTACCTTCTTCGACCCCTCATTTCCTTAAAGTTTCCATCTTTCCCAAAATTCTTGTTTTTATTCACTTTCCTTTCAAGTTCTTCACATGGTGAGCTTCTTCTTCTTCTCTACTGTACTATATTTGCATTTATTTTTGGTTTGATCATCAGTTTGGCGTTAAAACCATCTCAAATTGTGATTAGTTTTACTGTTCTCTGCTTTTGCTTTAGCTGGTTTTGACTAGATTTTTTGTGGCCGCTAGATAACTTTGCATCGACTGGCTTCCTATTTTTCATTTCTAGAGTAACTTTGCATCGACTGTTCAAATATTTTCTGATATTCGTTTCTCAATCCATTGACGTCCGTACATCTGTTTACGCAAGTTACCTTATAATTGTTAATAAACTTACTTATTTTTATTTCCCCATTACACAATATCTTAAAATTGTTAATAAATTTACTAGCAATAAATTAAAATCCTACTTAGTAACCAACTAGGCTTTTTAGTACCCCTCAATTCTCTAGCGTTTTATTGGTGCATCTTCTGTCTTCCTTGGATTCATTTTTTCACAGTTTCTCATAGCTTCGACTATAGATGATTTCTTGAGGTCATGTCCTTCTTTTAGAGCCCATGGGGCGTATAGGGGGAGGGCTCGACAGAGTGGTGACAAGGAGATTAGACTTAGAGTTTGCTCGTTGAATGTAGGCACATTAAATGCTAGGCTTCTGGAGCTGACCGACGCACTTAATAATAGAAAAATAGATTTTGCATGTATTCAGGAGACTAGGTGGAAAGGGGCTCGCGCCAGAGTGTAATGGGTACAAGTTGTGGTATTCAGGCATAGATAACGCTAGAAATGGGGTGTATGGTTTCCTCTAGGCTCAAGGAAAATGTAGTTGAAGTTGTGTAGATACGGGATAGGATCATGATGATTAAGGTTATTATAGAAGAGGGAAGTGGTGAATGTCCTTTCAGTGTACGCCCCACATGTGGCCTAGGGAGGGGGAGAAACGTTGCTTCTGGGATCAGTTAGATGATGTACTTAGGAGCATTCGGAGGACCAAAGAGTTTTTATAGGGGGAGACTTCAATGGCCATATAGGTAGTACAAACCGATGGGTATGACGTGTTCATGGGGGGTTTCGTATGGTAGCAGGAACGATGACGGGCGTACGCTTTGAATTTGCTACTGCTCACGATTTGGTAGTCACTAACTCCTTATTTAATAAGAGAGATGCGAACTTGATTAGTTTCATAGCGGGGGACATTGTACCCAAATCGACTACATCCTGGTTCGAAATCGGATCGATGGGCTTGCATTGACGTAAGGTGTCCCCTGAAGAGGCATGTGCATCGCAACACAAATTGTTGGTTTGGTGTTCGCGTACCGCACGGCGGAACACTCATAGGAGGCTAACTGGGTAAACCTATGATCCTTTGGAAGAAGTTACATGGAGCGACAGTTGATGCCTTTAGGAGTAAGGTTTTGTCTAATACAGGTTTTGGAATTACAAACTCAAATAATGCAGATTTGTTATGGAAAAATATGGCAAATTCCATCAGAGAGGTGGGCAAAAACACCCTGGGGTTATCGACAGGGAAGGCCAAGGAACATAAGAATCGTGGTGGTGGAACGACGAAGTCCAAACTAAGGTGAAGACAAAGCAAACTTGCTTCAAGGAGTTTCTACAGTGCAATGACGAAGAAAGGTTGAGAGCTAAACAAAGATACAAGGAGGCAAAGCGGGAAGCCAAGAAAACAGTGGCTATAGCAAAGGATAAGGCATACGAGGAAATGTACAAGAGATTAGACACCAAGGAAGGACAAAACGACATCTTCAGGCTTGCAAAATCTAGGGAGAATAGGAAAAAGGATCTAGGTAGCATTAGATTTATTAAGGACAACATGGTGTTCTTATAGCGAAAGATCATGATATTAAGAGGTTGGGGTAATTACTTCTTTGGCTTATTAATGACGGTGCCTCTCCCTGTAGAGAAAGTACCGTTGATGGTCATCCGACCATCACTTCGGCCAATGACTGCCCTACAAGTAGGATTGGGTTTGAGGAAGTCAAAATGGCTCTTAGAAAGATGGGAAGGGACAAAGCTGTCGGTCCTGATCAAATTCCTAACACTGTGTGGTTGGCCCTAGGAGAAGAGGGAGTTAAGTGGTTGACCAACATCTTTAATATTATTTTAGAGAATGCCAAGATGCCAGAGGAGTGGAGAGAGTCACGGTGATACCAATCTATAAGAATAAAGGAGTCCCCAACGTTGTGGTAACTACAGAGGTATTAAACTACTCAGCCATACCATGAAGCTATGGGAAAGGGTGATAGAGGTTAGGTTGAGACAAGTTACTAGGGTTTCGGAAAACCAATTTGGCTTTATGCCAGGCAGGTCTACCACAGAGGCGATTCATCTACTTCGACGACTTATGGAGAAATATAGGGAAAAGTCTAGAGATCTTCACATGGCGTTCATTGACCTTAAGAAGGCTTATGATAGCGTTCCCCGCGATACGATCTGGAAGACTTTGGAAACGAGACGGATCCCAACTATTTATATCCGGGCGATTCGTGATATGTATTGTAGATCTACTACATCGTCAGGACTACAGTTGGCGACACCGAGGCATTCCGGTGGAAATCGGACTCCAAAGGGTCGGCTCTTAGCCCTTACATCTTCGCCTTGATTATGGACGACATCTATTGTGCGACACCAGACGGTCCATGGTGTATGCTTTTCGCTGACGACATTGTCCTAGTTGCTGAAAAAAAATCTGAGTTGAATAGTAGACTGACTACCTGGAAGACTGCTTTGGAAGAAAAAGGTCTAAGGATCAATATTGATAAGACAGAGTATTTATGTTCAAACTTCAGTAGGGACCAAACGAAGAAGATGTAGAAGATGCATAGAAGGACACGTTCTCCCTCAAAGGATTGTTTCAAGTACCTAGGGTCTATAATACATAAGATGGGGTAGATGATGACGTTACACACCGTATAAAGGCGGGATGGCTAAAGTGGAGGGCCGCTACTGGAGTTTTGTGTGACAAGAAGGTGCCTCTAAAACTTAAGGGAAAATTTTATAGAATGACAATAAGACCAGCGATGTTGTATGGATCAGAATGTTGGGCAACCAAGAAGGATCATGTAAGGAGGATAGAGACCGCAGAAATGAGAATGTTTCGATGGACATGCGGTAGGACTCTGTGGGATATGACAACAAACTCTGCTATTAGGATGTCCTTGGGGGTGGTGCTGTTTCCGAAAAATTGAGGGAAGGAAGACTACGGTGGTTTGGGCATGTCCTTAGGCGACTACCGTCTGATGCGGTCAGGAGGGTAGAGTCGATTACAGTCGACGGTGCCAGAAGGAGAGGACGACCAAGGCGGAAGTGGGAAGACTGCTTGAGATCTGATTTGATTGATTTAGCCCTTACCGAGGACATGACATCTGATAGGAAAGTATGGAGACTTAAGACTAGGATAGTCGAGTAGTGTGGGTCACATCTCTAGGGTGTATCATCTCTGTCTTCTTTTAATGCCTTTGTAGTAATTTCCATGACTTCTATTTTTTATTCGTTTATGTTATTGGTATTTATGAAGGCTTAGAACTGGGCTTGCTATCGTTTGACTTCTGTGTATCATTCTCTCCACTTTTAAATTTAGTCGGGTCTTACGTTTCTGTCTATATACAGAG